ATGTCTTTTTACTAACACATCCAAGAATGGTAGTTGACCATTGTTTTCCTCTTCTTTTGTGAAACGGATACCAGCAAACGTTGTTTATTAGCTGATGTGTTTCTTCCACTTTTGAGCGCTTTAGGATGACAAAAGTATCGTCCACGTAGCGTAGCCAGAGTTTAGGTTTTGCGACCGGGAGTGCGGTTTCCTCCAATGCTTGCATCACCGCTTCGGCCACTAGTCAAGATATCGGTGAACCCGTTGGCCTGCCTGTTATTTGTTCGTAGGTTTGGTCGTTGAAACCGAAGTGTGTCGCGAGGCATAAATCCAACAACTCCATCATGTGGATGGCATCTATTTTATTGTTCCTGTCTGAGGATCCGCGTTGGTATAGTAGTGTTGCCATCGTTTGCTTCGCCAGCTTGATGTTGATTGAAGTGAATAAAGCTGTTACATCAAAGGAAACCATGATTTCGTCCTCTTTCATTACTGTTTCGTTGAGATTAGCCAGGAATTGTTCTGCAGATTGTATGGAATGTTCCGAGCCAGAGATCAGGGCTTCAATCTCTTCCAGAGTTTTTTGGAAAGTTTGTAATTCGGAGCTCCAGGTAACGACACGATAGGGCGGATGGGGACTCCACTTTTGTAAACTTTTGGCAGGCCGTAGAATCGCGATAGCACCGAATCCTCTGGTTTCATCCTGCTGTATTCTAATTTTGTGATCTGGCCCATTTGTTCCAGATTTTGTAGGGTGCGTTTAATTTTGCTTTCCAATCGTTTTGTGGGATCTTCGTTTACTGGTTGGTAGGTGTTCACATCTTGAAGGAGTTCTTGCGCTTTCTTCGTATAATCAGCTTTGTCCATTAAAACAGTAAGACGTCGTTTATCAGCCAGTAAGATAACGATATCTTTAGCTTTCCTAAGATTTCTCAGCGCTTTTTGTTCAGTTGCGTTGAACATGTTGGTTTCACAAGAGTAAAACCAAAGCGGATCCTCAGACAGGAACAATAAAATAGATGCCATCCACATGATGGAGTTGTTGGATTTATGCCTCGCGACACACTTCGGTTTCAACGACCAAACCTACGAACAAATAACAGGCAGGCCAACGGGTTCACCGATATTTTGACTAGTGGCCGAAGCGGTAATGCAAGCATTGGAGGAAACCGCACTCCCGGTCGCAAAACCTAAACTCTGGCTACGCTACGTGGACGATACTTTTGTCATCCTAAAGCGCTCAAAAGTGGAAGAAACACATCAACTAATAAACAACGTTTGCTGGTATCCGTTTCACAAAAGAAGAGGAAAACAATGGTCAACTACCATGCTTGGATGTGTTAGTAAAAAGACATGCTGCTGGACAACTGAAGACAACAGTTTATCGGAAAGCGACGCATACAGGCCAAATCCTGAATTATCGCAGCAATCATCCAACAGTCTACAAGCGCAGCTGCGTAACAACTCTATTTAAAAGAGCGCAGACACATTGCAGCACCCCGCAGCTGAGGAAAACGAAGGAAGATCATCTATTCGAAATGTTTACACGGAATGGGTATCCTAGGAATTTCATTCTACGTTGTTTAACATCAAGAAAACGGCCAACACGTGAACAAACATCAGAAAGGGATAAAAGGACAATCATTCTACCATACATAAACGGCGTCTTTGCGATGGCGGCGAGACTACTACTACCTTTCGGAATCAGAGTTGCTCGCAAGCCGACAGAAACCATCCGAGACAAGCTTTTCAATGGTAAGGACCGGTTTGGCAAAGAAGAAACAAGTGGTGTGATTTACAAAATCCACTGCAAAAACTGTAACAAATACTATGTGGGCCAGACAGGAAGAAAGCTCGGCACTAGGCTACATGAGCATATTCTAGCCATCCACCGACATGACCAGAACTCCCTGATGTCGGTACATATGGACGCCGAAAATCATCAGTTTGATTTGGAGAATGTCAGGATCATAGGCAGGGCAAAAAATCGAAAAGCACGCGAGTTCATCGAGGCTTGGTACCCGGGAAAGAATTCCATCAACCGACACTTAGATCTTGCTACTGACTATGAAGCACTGAGGGTCAAAACAATACTCAGCCCCAGATCAAAAGGACAAAGGAACGTCATTGAGACGGACTCTAGCCAATAGTACGCAAGAGCTGACTACACGGTCAGCTCGCGTGGACCAATAGACTCCTGACATTCGAATCAAGTGATCAATAATCACTTGGATATGTAAGTGGCCCGCATAAATCGCACTGATGATGTCGTCTAGCCTGACGATGGAATGTTTGCAGCCAAATCAGTCAGCTCGGAGAATACCCGCATACCCTCACAGTTCAGTAAAGTTGGATAACTATGATCCGGGCGCCAAAATGCGGTGTAAGGAGTTGTTACGACTCCCTTTGTCAGATGAACAACAAATAACGGAAAGAAAACGACGTTGAGCGCAAATAGAATAGGAAGAAAGTGACAACAATAAAGGAGCGCAGAAAGCTACTCCGGGTAGAATGAAAATTAGGAGCCAAATGAAAAAATAGCGAGGGTAAGAGTGCCATTGACAGTGTGACCGCACAATTCTGATAGATTCCTCAACCACTGGTATGGAACATCCCGATATCCACAGCTACGAAGACAACACGCACCAGCCAAACCGAGTGTCACAGCAAACTTCTCCACGTCGATGGGCCATTTCGTGATTTCGCCCAAATCGATGCAGCGACGCCATATAATGCACACCGACGTAGCCGGTTAATAAGCATACAGAGGACATGACCTAGCCAACGTAAACGGGTAGGATTCAACAAACACTCGAGTGAGGTACCAGAAGGCTTATTGCCAAAAGCCAACTGGTGGGTCTCAGCATTTTCCACCTGGTGCTTCCACCAGATGTGAGTAATATTCTGCAAGTACCGGCGATCGAACACGGCCAAGCGTCTAACGTCTACTGTGAACTGGCCAGGTCTCTGATCGGCAGAGTAGCACCGGACTTATCGCAGTGTTGCAAACCCTACCTTCAAATAACAGGTTGACATCCCGCTACCTGCATAGATGATTGAGCCTCTGAAATGCCACAGTGGCCTTACTGATACGCGAAGTAAATTCTTCAATGATGTGACCAACAGGTGGCACAGCCAGCAAAGTGCACCGATTCCCCACTTCCAGTGGCTGTTCCGTGATAGCTGGAAACGGTGGTGTATAGATCCCGTATAGCAACAATAATTTGCAATTTGAAGATGTAAAACACGTGGTAGTCTTTTTCACTTAAAGTGTGCACTTCTTTTCTTGTTCGCAACTGTTTGTGGCGGCAACAATCCTTGGAGGGTATACCCAAGATATCCGTATACCCTAAAATCTCTATACCGCGACTACCGGAGTAGAGTGAAGGTCTACGTGAAGCTCCCCTCCAAATTTGCCCAGACAAGTGGAATTCATTACTGGTGTCTGCATTTGTTTTCAACCTTGTGGTCAAGATGATTATGAATAGTTACACCTACTTCCTTCCACTCCTAAGATAGAGGTTCTGTTAGGTGATCGACTGGCGACCTCCGAGTACTTCGACGATTTAAGCTCCACGTATGCGTTACTGAATGGGCGGATGCGTAGCACTATGCACTTCGGTATTTGCTTCACACTAAAGTGAAAAGCACTGTTGCGAAACTGGACCGATACCTCGTATTTCTTACTACCGCTGAACAACCTGTCGAGATTACCGACCGGGTCACTCATCCGAGCAGCTGCATCCCCTCTGATGGTCACAGTATCAAGGAAACTACGGCACGCACTGTTAAGGTCCGTACCACTTTCCAGTCAGTAATGGATACAGTGGGGTGTAAGCCTAGTCACTAGGAGAAGTCAGAGTTTGTGTTGTGGAAAACCGTGACTCCAGAGACCAGTTCTGTTCTATGCAACATGAGTAACTTGCATGGAAGTGGACGATGAGTCGCGTCATAACGCGATTTGTTTGCAAGCCATAACGGTCCACCGCCGTCCCCCTTGGCTTGGTGGCATAAACTACCGGCTAATGGTGCAAGCTGTTAGTGCCGAGAAGCCAGGGGTTCGGTTCCTAATAGAACTGGAGATCGCACCACCGAGGATCCCCAATAGGACGGAACGGTCGTCTGGTGCTTTACAGGATGTATAGTGGGACATCTGGCTTGGACGTTACTGCAACGGATCCCAAAGAAAATCGTATTAGAACCCTCCTACGTATGAGCAATCCGATACACCACAAATCGATGAACTGATCAAAGTTGATAGGTTGAAAAAACTTTTAGTGAGACTACTTACCCCACTTCTCCCAGTAAGGCTTAGCAGTCTTCTGGAGCGGGCCCCCTAGGCAGTGACACCGGATAGGTAATATCTTATCGAAGATGCGTAGCTGAAAAATAAACGCCAAGCGTGCGAAAGCGCGCGCACCTATGCAAATTCCAACTGGTGACTTGTGGATGATAAAAGACTCCTTAATAACTCTGCTACCGGAGTGAGGTAATGGTATTATTGCTAGCAACATTGTAACCCGCCTTGTGTGACCGCTCCGTGGCAACAGAGTTAGGACTAACTGTTGTTTTTAGATCAGGACGTAGGAAGAGATGAGAACGATGATTGACAAAGGTGCACGTGCTTGAAGAGCAGCAATCAATATCAAGCAGGTAATAGTAACATCAAAACAAGGAAACAGCAGTGAGAGGAAAATTTTAAAGTTCACGTATGCGCTGCATGAGCTAACCATTCACAGAATATGACAAAGGCGAAAAGATCGGTGGAATATAAGAAAGAACGTTTCTGGTTGGAACAAGTGTAAGATGTTAAATAAACTCTATCTCATGGTATGCCACATAGATGTGGTTAATAAAACGCATAGTTCCCTTCTTGTCATTCAAAGAGAGACGTTTAGGAATGACATATAGGTATCACATCTGACACAACTTCAGATCAAAACATCTGCAATTCCGTAACTGTGGAAAGCTTCACACAATGGCTCGCACCAAATAAGAATAAAGATAGAAAGTGGATTTACCTGGCAGAATTTGCGCGCCTCGTCAAACTGCTTTCGTTCCAAATAAATTTGCCACACTCGGGACAATTCATTGCGAACGTTTAAACGAGCCATACCCTGATTGCCAAAGAGCCAAATGTGGCCGGACAAGGAATCGCGACAAATTCCCAATGCGCTGGCATTGTTTAACTCCGCACTCACGGGCATAGAATAGACAGTCCGGTCGTCTAAAATGTTGACCGCCTTGACGCGGTCCGCGTAGGCAATGATGAGGTGAAACGCGGTCAAACACACGCCCAAAGGTGCGCTGGTGTGCTCAAGCATTCGTATCACTGGATACGGGATCAGTTTGGTGTTACGCGTCAAGCTAACCACGCGTCCGGCGAACACGTCGGACGGTTGTGAAATGTCGTCGTCGGCTGCCGATCGATCAGAATGCTGATCCGAAGTGGTAGTTTTGTGAGCTATTGGACTGCCGGACTGCGTGAGAGCAGCAATTGTGGTGAATGGAGGCAAATTCATCTGTTTGACATCAAGGTGACCAAAATAGATCCCAGGGCCTTGCGACAAGAGATGTAGCAGAAAACCGAATAAAATGTAAACAAGTTAACAGACGGTTTTGCCACCGAAATCAGTTATGCGCTCAATATCGCTTAGTGGTAACAGCGGGCAGGCGAACACGGAGAAAAGCACGCTATATGTGATTACACGAGCACAGTGCAAAAGCGAGAATGCAGGCCCCAGCGGGTTCGTGCGTTCCACCCTTTGGACAAGGAATTGACCGGGTCAATCAGTGTGGTAGATGGGCATAACAACGAGGCAGAGCACACTAGCAACGCTTAAGGTTATTTGATTGCAAGTGGGTTGGCTTGTTGGAGGGGTAGTAAGGCAGGTTCAGTCGGTTCCGTGATATGTGGCTAAACATGCAAAAAAGAAAAACAAATTGCACATATGGTGGTGGCACTATAAGAGAAAAGCAATTTGTACGCGAGTGGACGCGAAGTTCGAACTAATAGCATGGAAGTAGTTGCGAACCGCACTGTGGAAGGCAGGCATATGAAACATGCTTGGTTGATGCGCAAACACTAACAAACTCGGCGCAAGTATGGAGATGATGGGAGACAAAGAAGATAGTTAGAGTTCACATGAAGGTTATTATTTACTAATGGTGCCTGCTCCAAATTTCTTTCCAGATATTGGTGAGAAAGACCAGATCACAAAGAGTGGAACAAGGATGGGATACCAAACGGTGTGTGATTTCGTAAATGCAAAAGTCCTTCACACTGCATATGCGCCTGTATCGAGTCGTAGTTGTAGCGCATTTTCTCCGGTTTCTTCATGTGTTATCGGATCTGAGCCATCACTTTGCTTTCACTAGCCCCCATATGCTCTCCACCTGCAAGTGGATCCACATCACTTAAGTGTTCAGGTCACAGTCTTTGAGCGGGACACGATGAGTGTTTCTTGCAGCGAACGTTGGTGGGAAGCAAGTGAGGCTGAAGCCTCAGTGCGGTACTTTAACACTACATGCGCAGAATAGGCGTTAGAGATCCCGAGGTCAAAGTAAGTGCTTGAATTTAATGAAAATCCAATGTGAGTATTGAGTTACTAATCGAGTCCAAAGAGTAGAAAATCAAACAGAGCGGCGTACATAACCGATTTGACAGAATAAGTGTAAGATAGACCGGATGAAAACGATGAAACGTAGCGACAAAAATGGTAGGCTGTACCTGTCATCCAGGCAAATTTAGTGGGAAGCTCAGCATCAGAAGGTTGGTAGAGTTTGAGATCGCTGTAGCCAAAACTTTGGGGAAATTCAGTCACCTTGCAACCTGAAATAAGGAGAATCGTGATTTGGAAAAAATGTTATTAGTAGAGTATCAAAGATTTAATTGCCAAAAGACAGCTTGAAAAAAAATCTGGGGAAATGCTGACAGAATGTAACTACATCGTATGAAGAGCAAAAGAGGGACATGATCGATGTAGTTGGTCCTGGGACCTAGCGCTGAGAAGCACAAGCAGTGTGAGATCCAGAGTACGGAATAAGTGTCCATTTAAGTCTCGGGTGTATGCAAGATGGGCGTCAATTCAAATGAACTAAGGAATGTCGGTCAGCGTGCAACAACCGACAGATGCATGGTATCGGAACCGCCAGTAACTTTCTATGCCCTCGTCAACATTGGTAATATATAGTTAATCTCAGTCAAGCGATCAACATTAACCAAATATCGAAGTGCAATGAATCCAGTAAATAAGTGGGATACAAAAGGCGGAATGCTAGCACATCATAAGATAAGGAAACGGTTACTGTGCAGGTCACAGACACGGGCACTGTGTGTCTGACAGTGGAATAGTGCCCGACCAAATTATCAATCGATCGCGTAAAGAAATACTGATTGAGCTGATACGGAAGGTTCTGAAAAGAGGGAGCAGAATGTACCAACGCCTCTGCACTAGTCAATGATACGGTGTTCTTGAACGTGGACCAAAAGGGTAAATAAAATGGAAGACAAGTTAAACAAAAAGCTTTGTGCTGGACGGGGCGACGATGTTGGGGGGAAAAGTCCTCCGACACCTGTAACGTTGTGTCAGAAAACTGTGGATAAAGAAAACGGAGGGATTGCGACGATGGGTCGCTAGGTGATTCTTGAGGCTTGAAGCTGTCTAAAAGGAGCACAATAACATACAGAAACGGGGAGATGTGGTAGAAGTGAAGGCCAACAAGTTATGTTAGTGAGGTAGAGACAACAGTCACTTTTGAGGAAAGTTGCTTCCCGGTAGTGTTATCAGGATACTCAACGATATTGAGGAAAGCAGTGGCAGCGACAGGGGAGGGTAGTCGACTCGTTGATGATGCATTTGTGGCATGGAGTTAAGGTGATAGCGTTGAATGTGGTGTGGATGCGCGGTTCCATAAGCTGGGATGAGAACTGAAAGAGGCCGTCTCGGTCAAAGATTCTGAAGCGAGACCAGCAGATCCATTATATCAGTAATGTATGAAAGTGGACGACAGAAAAAAAGCAAATAATTGTATCGCGGGCTGTTGATAGGCTACTATCCGCAGCCGGAGTAAGAGAGTTAGTGAGATCGGATGGGTAGTCGGAAGTAAGCGATAAGATCACTAGAGCGAGCCTGGGGGAGATCGACATTAGACAACTTGTGAGGTCATGAGACGAGCTGCTCATGCGAGGGGCTTGGTGTCATTGTAAATGCTACAGCCTCCCTATAGCTGGGATCATAAGCGAAGGGAATCGTTGGTGAAGCAGATGTAATAAGTCCGGAGGTAATGGTACTACGGGACCAATACACGTTAGACTCGGGAGGCTATGAAGGACACGTAATCCTCAGGATGAGCATCCAGAAAGTGCTGTGTCAGCGCCTATCCAGTTCAAAAAGATGATCGTAGACAGGGCTGATATTATTTGGAGTGACCCTTATGCAAGAGTCTGCAGGGTGATATGCAGCATGTCGTTATCGCTCAAATTAATCATTATATAATTTTTTTTCCTGCAAGTAGTGTTATTTGGGGTTCCCAAAAGACAAGAATGTTAGACGATGGTTTTGAGTGTTTATATAGCTACAGCCTGTCTTTTAACTATGACATTCGCCATTCGTTTATGGGACCACTGCCGCAAAATGCAGGCCTATGGTCTTAAGGATTAGAAGCCTGCCTTTTAATCTGAGGGCGCGGGTTAGAGCTTGCGTAGGGACCAAGCGACGATCGCAGTATGTTTAGCCCACGTGCGACTGACGGTGGTTGAGCGGCACCGAAGCGTTGTTACTGCGCACGGACGTACTGGTGATGCCTGGTACTTAAAATACCCATGTCATCTCAATAGATATTCAATCCACCTTGTTCCCCAGTACTTCGCTTGGTTCTTACTCAGTTTTATCCTTTGCTAGTGCGAGAGCCGACAATGATAGCAGTTATATGAATTTTATCCAGGCTTGGTTTAACAAATCTCAAACATCTCATTGACCTACTCTTGTCTCGATTATCCAATTCCCAAGCGATGTTAGCCTATCAAGTTAAGCATCTGCTTCCTTTTCTCATCATACAACCCAATCGTGCCTACTAGTCAGAAACGACACGTCTAACATAAAGTTACAACGCATTTGCTGAAATATGTCCAACTGGTCAGCGTACCGTAATGTGCACTTAAGCTTCACACTAACTAGACCCATTCCGCTCTGTTTTGTAGACATAAACTCTGTAACCAGGCTAGATCATTCAACTATCATAGGTCTTTTCAATTTCACGCTTTTTGTAATTTCTCATGAAATGCTTGTTACGATGCACTTAAATTTATTACGTTTCTACTCTTCCCAACGTTCGGCACCGCCATTCGTTTGACCTTATGATGAGATGACTGCAACTGGAAATATGCAATGGATATCTGGTGACATTTGAAAAAAATTCCTAGCTGAGGAACAGTTGAGTTGCAATAACAGTTTCGGAGGAAACCTGTACATACTGATCGGATCAGGCTCACTGGACCTTGTCTCGACTTTGTGAAATATACGTAGTATACTAACAGCAGATAACGGCCATGCTGAGGCTGATGTTGCATTTTTGATGCTTCTTCACCGCAGTTGGGCTAAACCAACTTACACTTAAACTAGGTCTTTTTAAGCTGGATAAATTTCATTCCGCTTTACTTGGTTTGTTCTGCCTCCCTGAATAATGTTCTATTAACTGGCCACGTTGCTTACACTAATTGCGCTTATCTTCGGTAATTTTGTTGCGTTTGTAGCATTTTAAGTAACTTGTGGACATTTCTTACTTATCACGGATTTGTTGCTAACCAAATTACTTCATATGGTAATTTAGCGAAGAGTTATGCCACCGTATCTGTATGCATTATTGGATTTATTTTATTTCAGCTTGTCGTTTAAAGTGAATGGCTGTTGTTTGATATCCCTGGTATGGTTGCGCTTGATGTGTATGTTGACAAGGTGCCTACCTGTCTATTACCCACTACATCGTTCATACTGGCTCCAGGAGACAGTTGGTCGTTGCTGGAGGGGACGGGGTGCACGGTTCTTGTGGCCGTGCTAGGCTCAAAGAGCGGTTCCATGCACTCAGTGTGGAGCGGACTACGGTCCAGCCACCGCCTTGTGTGCGCTTGATTCCCCAAATACAGCGTGCTTGTGTTTGCCTGTGAAGGAGTGTGGGCCGGCTCCGTTGATGAAACGTGGTTCCCATCCGCATGCCTCCCGGTCTTATTCCTTCGGGTTTACACTGGATATGGGGTATGTGGTTGGAGCTGTGGGTGGTGCAGCGCAAGCCATCCATGGTCCCTCTGTAGGCGCAGGCGTCCTGTGGCTTGCCACAGTGACAGGCAAATCCGAAACCGGATGCTGCCAACCATGTATGTATGTGTGCCCCATGCTGAGGCTGATGTTGCATTCTTGATGCTTCTTCACCGCAGTTGGGCTAAACCAACTTACACTTAAACTAGGTCTTTTTAAGCTGGATAAATTTCATTCCGCTTTACTTGGTTTGTTCTGCCTCCCTGAATAATGTTCTATTAACTGGCCACGTTGCTTACACTAATTGCGCTTATCTTCGGTAATTTTGTTGCGTTTGTAGCATTTTAAGTAACTTGTGGACATTTCTTACTTATCACGGATTTGTTGCTAACCAAATTACTTCATATGGTAATTTAGCGAAGAGTTATGCTACCGTATCTGTATGCATTATTGGATTTATTTTATTTCAGCTTGTCGTTTAAAGTGAATGGCTGTTGTTTGATATCCCTGGTATGGTTGCGCTTGATGTGTATGTTGACAAGGTGCCTACCTGTCTATTACCCACTACATCGTTCATACTGGCTCCAGGAGACAGTTGGTCGTTGCTGGAGGGGACGGGGTGCACGGTTCTTGTGGCCGTGCTAGGCTCAAAGAGCGGTTCCATGCACTCAGTGTGGAGCGGACTACGGTCCAGCCACCGCCTTGTGTGCGCTTGATTCCCCAACTACAGCGTGCTTGTGTTTGCCTGTGAAGGAGTGTGGGCCGGCTCCGTTGATGAAACGTGGTTCCCATCCGCATGCCTCCCGGTCTTATTCCTTCGGGTTTACACTGGATATGGGGTATGTGGTTGGAGCTGTGGGTGGTGCAGCGCAAGCCATCCATGGTCCCTCTGTAGGCGCAGGCGTCCTGTGGCTTGCCACAGTGACAGGCAAATCCGAAACCGGATGCTGCCAAACATGTATGTATGTGTGCCCCATGCTGAGGCTGATGTTGCATTCTTGATGCTTCTTCACCGCAGTTGGGCTAAACCAACTTACACTTAAACTAGGTCTTTTTAAGCTGGATAAATTTCATTCCGCTTTACTTGGTTTGTTCTGCCTCCCTGAATAATGTTCTATTAACTGGCCACGTTGCTTACACTAATTGCGCTTATCTTCGGTAATTTTGTTGCGTTTGTAGCATTTTAAGTAACTTGTGGACATTTCTTACTTATCACGGATTTGTTGCTAACCAAATTACTTCATATGGTAATTTAGCGAAGAGTTATGCCACCGTATCTGTATGCATTATTGGATTTATTTTATTTCAGCTTGTCGTTTAAAGTGAATGGCTGTTGTTTGATATCCCTGGTATGGTTGCGCTTGATGTGTATGTTGACAAGGTGCCTACCTGTCTATTACCCACTACATCGTTCATACTGGCTCCAGGAGACAGTTGGTCGTTGCTGGAGGGGACGGGGTGCACGGTTCTTGTGGCCGTGCTAGGCTCAAAGAGCGGTTCCATGCACTCAGTGTGGAGCGGACTACGGTCCAGCCACCGTCTTGTGTGCGCTTGATTCCCCAACTACAGCGTGCTTGTGTTTGCCTGTGAAGGAGTGTGGGCCGGCTCTGTTGATGAAACGTGGTTCCCATCCGCATGCCTCCCGGTCTTATTCCTTCGGGTTTACACTGGATATGGGGTATGTGGTTGGAGCTGTGGGTGGTGCAGCGCAAGCCATCCATGGTCCCTCTGTAGGCGCAGGCGTCCTGTGGCTTGCCACAGTGACAGGCAAATCCGAAACCGGATGCTGCCAACCATGTAAGACACTGGTAGGTGACGGGTTAAAGCCTGGTATAGTAGTGGATTCGGAGTTGCAGATATGACAGTTGCAGTCTCCTTGTGGGGGTTCGATGAGGGTAAGATGAATGAGGTCGCGGGATTGGGCATGGTGAAATTCGATACAAATCAGCGGTGAGACAGTTTGACAAGCATTAGGTAGCAGTTTAAGCTGGTGAGCTCAGACTGTGGAAGAAGGGATAGACGAATAGCACAAATTGAAGGACGGAGGATGGAACCTCACTTGTTCAAAAAGCCACAATGGAAAGCGAGAATTAAAAGATGAGATAATGCACGATAGCTCGCAGAGCAATCAATCACGAGAAATTGTTTGCAAAGGCTATCGAAGTCAGTAAAAGAATGCAGTGGAATTGATGCGATAAATAGCTTAATGAATTCTAGCTACTTGTAAGTAGGCAGAGAATCTTAGAACAATACAGGTATCGCAGGTGAACGCAAGTGATTGTTGTAGCTGTGGCAGGAAATGTGTGTGGTGGTAATGTCAAAAAGAATTCTAATAGCGAAAGGAGAGTTTACAAATGAAGTAGTAGTTTATCATATGTAGTAGAACATGGAAGATGGTTAAACTTGGCAGAAAGAAATGACTTACGGCAATCAGAAATAGTGGGAAACAAGAGTGAGAGAAAACTAGCAACAAGGACATAATGCAAGTGCTAAGATGGCACGACGCTATCCGGAGATTTATATGACCAGAAGGTTTGGGACAATGCACAGCCTGCTAAAACAATGCGAATCAGCACACAACACACAGGGAAGAGTAAAAAACGAATAACCAAAAAAGTACAAAGCTTTCAGTGAAGATCAATACAACATGCGAATCAGGACAAAAAGCACAATCAATCCAGATTTAGCTTGGAAACTAAGTAACTGAGTTGAAAGAGAAATTGCTAAGAAAGTCGCAAAGTGCGTTAGGGACAGGAGATAACAAGAGAAAAGCCCATTTGCAAGTGTAGAACAAAATAGGCAAGATGTGTCTTAAAAGGAAGTCTATAACAAACTAAACAAGTTCCGTTTATAATGCATGAAAACTTATCCAATAAAGGGTACTCGATGAGATCTATCCAACGATGTAAGGGGTCTGTCCGCCAATGCAATGACAGAGAAATTCCGCAAACAATGAAAACCTTCCTTAGACTCAATCATTGATTGGCACACAACGGGCAGCCACATGCGCATCGCTGCAGATGCAGCTGCTAAAGTAGTGGAACCGATAAAATGCCTCGAGTTCCTAGCTATCGAGGGTCAAGGAATCACCACGTGCCTGGGGGTTCTACAAAAAGACACTGCACTTTAAAGGTGCGAAGCTCATGTCGAACGATGGGATCATTCTAGGGAGAGGTTATTCGTGGTTGACTGGACAACTCCAACATCGTTAAACAGCAAGACAATATCATCGGCATAATCAGGATCAACTAGTTTTCAACAAGGCATCGTGAGATTCCGTAAAAGAACCCTAACGATGAAGTCCATAACGAAGTTTAGCAAAAATGGAGGAACGGGATAATCCCCACGAACGTCACTTGTTATGGGAAAGACATCGGACAGATGACCTTAGACCCCGACGCGGTCTGAGGTGTCAGAGTACAGAGCACGTGAAATGTCTACATACTTCATGGGAACAACTGCCCGCGTAAGTATTTCAAACATAGTGGATCCACCGACTGAGTTGGACGCACTCCTGAAGTCGGTCTGCGGTACGTGAGATGTGTGTTCTAACGCCTGCCGCAAAGTGAATACATGGTCTATACCGCCTAATCCTGGACGGAAATAGACCTGCTTCTCAAACCCGGGATTTCCGATCCGCAGTAAGCCAACGGACGAGAATCGAGGCCAGTACTTTTGCCACCATCGACGTTCTGGTTAGCTCATTCGGTGTGACCACCACTTTGGTATATTGCCATTGTAATGACCTCTTCCTTCTAGACCTATAGGAAGAGGGAGGTCAGTGCTCTGCAGGGACATCATCACCATCATTAAATTGTGCGGGTGCAAGGGAATACGGCCAGCAAGATGAAAACGATTAACGGGTGCAATCGCGTTTCGAATTTCAACCAATGAACAGCCTCTAGACCTTCACCACCTGAGTAGGAAGAGACATAGGAGCAGCTAAAGTGCTCTCGAAAGTGCTGTGCATAGAGAGCCAGACGGCGTTCCCGATTGTGAATTAGTCCGTTCGTGCTCTCCATGATTGTTTCACTGAGGCACGGACTAGTGCGACTAGTGATACAGATGAGCTGGAAGAGCTTGAGATAATCACCTTTGAATGCTGTACTGTACAAAGCGTTGCTGCAGGACCACCAGCCACTTGATGACCCCTGGACGCTTGCAAAAGAGGAACTTGAGGTGGCTGATCAATTCACTTATATTGGCAGCAGCATCAGCAATGATGGGCGCATAGATACTGACGTCAGCTCACGCATTGCAAAGGCCAGAGCTGCCTTCTTGAACCTGCGGCATCTTTGGCGACAGAAGGGAGTTTCCCTTCGTCTGAAATGCCGTGTATACAAGGCCACAGTGAGGGCCGTTCTGCTCTATGGCAGTGGGACTTGGCCCCTTCGGTCTGAAGATCTGACGCGCCTTCAAGTCTTCAATCCTCATTGTCTGCGAAGCATTGCTGCTGTCGGATGGCACCAGCGTGTCCGCAATGATGATGTGTGTAGGCGAGTACCAGGTAGTGATAATCATGCTAGCTCCCTAGAACAACAGATGGCACTGAATAAGTTGCGTTGGCTCGGACACGTGCTACGTATGCCTGATCACCGCTTACCTAGGAGGGCCTTGTTCAGTCTACCAGGTGTAGGGTGGCGCATGGCTCGAGGTGGACAGAAGTTGACTTGGCAGCGGGAAATGAAGTCACTGACGACCAAACTGGGTGCCGTTGGTCCGTCTCGCTTTCCTGACCGAAGTCCACGTGACTCGCCTTGTGCTTGGCTCGAGACTTTACAAGACATGGCTCGCAACTGACACCAGTGGCGCGTCTGCTGCTGTCTCCTAATCGGATTGCCTGTTTAAAGTGTTTTTCGTACTGAGTTGTCTGCGGGGTAATGGCTGATTGTGAGGCGGAGCAGTGAAAGCCGCAAGGAAGCGGTTTAGTCGATGCCGCCTTATCTTTGCACGACACCCAGCTGTTTGTGACGCTATGTTGTCTACACAAAGTGTAGGCGCTTTGACCCTGAATGTTTTCTTAAGACATTAAAGTTTTCAGGTAAGTCCCCTTCTCTCTTTCCTATTGTTCTTTATTTCATAGGTCATCATGGTTGTATGGCAGTGAATCATCAGTTCAAATGGCTGATGTACTGCTGTTGATGATGATGACGAGGAGGATGTTGATGATGATGACGACGACGACGACGACGATGGTGATGATGATGATGATGTTGTACTTCATTAGCGCGTTGGGTCCGTCCGGCTTCCTTGTCGGTACGCATGCTCAGCTTTAGTTCACGCCTAATAGTCCACATCTGGTTACATTGTGTTCAGAGCCAGCAGGGAGTTTTCTGCTGTATTCCAGCGCATTCATCGACTTCTCGGCGCACCAGTGATTGGTCCGGTGATGAATAACAATGCCGCAAACAGAGGCTCGTGTGTAGTGCATGGCGACTGAGATTCTATTCCACTGAAGTTCGGCATTCATAGGACGAGATGGTGAAAACTAGATACGCATGGCATCCTGGTAGGATGACGTCGAGCAAATGCTGCCTCACCGGATAGTCGGTTGTTTGTGATTGTGTTGCTTTGACAAAGTGTGAGCGCTTTGATCTTGAATGGTCACGTGGGACATTTAAGTATTATATTAGGATGCAAGTCACTCCACATCTGGCTACTCATAAGATCACCTAATGATTTATTGTTTTACGGTGGCGAAGTGCCGGTACAGAGCGATGATCTGCTACTGCTGATTATGACAAAGGATAACGGCTGTAACCAATTTTATGTGATGGCCAGGTTAGCTGAAAAACAACCAACATGGATGTACGTCGGTGAGGCGATTGTGTATGATACAGTGACGCTTCCCAGAGTTGTTGTTAATCTACCACTGAAATCAGAAAAAATATCATCAGGGTTGGAATCATACACAAACTTACCAACAGGAAGCTTGTCATCCTGATTAAAAACACCATGATAGATGCCCACTGGAGCGTTCGGAAACAAGCCTGAAACAGGTCCGGGGCCAGCGGGTGGAAAAGTGTCGGCGTTGGTCGCTGATATATTCAAAGGTGGATTCATGGCGGTAGTCTGAGGGGGACTCCCTTGAGTTAGGTGGGACAACAGACCGGGTGTGGAGTTGGAGTTAATCCATCCGGCAAACTGATACATACGACTGGGTGTTGTAGCCAACACAACGCACCTCTGAGGTTCGCCCACCAAAACGGACGCAGAGCCAGGTGGGTGACGAATGATCTCCAATCCGGTAACGCTGTGCCCAAGGTTGGTGACCTAATACCATGAAAAATAAAGGCAATATACTATCAATGGGGGAAATATGAGTCTTATAAAATGGTACAAAAACGTTTGTAAAATAAGTTTCCTTCTCCTTCCCCCAACCAAGATCATACAAGCGAAGCATATATGATATTAAACAATATATCACTTGTTTTCGGTATTTATTTTGTAGGCTATAATGTTCGTATTGCGATTTTTATGTGTATCTTATCCTTTTGTGTTGCGGCACAGTAGCTGAGGTGTTTCTCACCTTCACCTAACGTGTAATGATGGTGATGAGGATGATGTAATGGCGGTCGCCGCTAACCGAGAGCTCTGTTACATCTGCCGTATGTTGAACGGTGCACAGCTCAATTGGAGCGAAATGTGGCTTGGCAGGGGAAAATGATGGCATTGAAGACTAAACTGGGTGCTGTTGATCCATCTTGACTTCCTGACTGGAGTCCTTACAAGTTGCTTGAGACTTTACAGAACATGGCTCCAGTGGTGCCAAAGTTAATGTATTCCTTGCAAAATGTTGCCCATATTTTTGAATTATTCTTTGTTATACATTCATACTTTATTCCTACTGGCAAAGATTTTATAGCCGTTTCTTGTCTAGCTTGGTACTGCAGTTATTTTATTTCCTCCCACTATGAACTGAAGCCTCTGAAGATGTTTCAAATGACTGATAAAGTTGGATTGCACGTCAGCGGGAGATTGAAAGACTGGCTCGGTCACTAAAGTCCCATTTCCGCCTTCTGGTCAGACTTAGCTAGTTCACATCGACGAAACATCATTCAACGGAAAATCTAACAACAGTAAATTCCTCTGCACTTCTTCCTGAACGACGCATATGTGCGGAACTGTAACGGACATAATATTATACATATTTCTATCTCATTTGTTGATAGGATTTATGAAGAAAAACTGTATACATTCCGAGCTCTCCCAGTGTGGGAATAATTTCTCGTACCGTCAAGAAATAAAAGATTTACTTATTTATTTTTGGCCGTCTCATAGTAGGACTACCAGTTTAAAGTATGTATGATGCTGAGTTGTCTGTGGGAGGAGGCTGAATATGGCGTACGGCAGTGAAAGCCGGAATTATGCCGTCTCACCGATGTCCCTTATCTTCGTACGATGTTCAGCGACTTATGACGGTATGGTCTCTTCCTATATCACGCAATATGGTTGAGAAGCAGCGAAGCATCAGTTCACCATATTGATGTACTGCCGCTGCTGTTGTTATCGTTTATGTCACCTGGCGTGCAGTCTTTTCTCAGCTTTATATCAACGATGTGCAAGCCGTAGAAGGGTGAGCACGGATCTGAGCCAATCATAGGTATCAGCAGTACGACGATACGCAGTATCGACGCTTTGCTGCCGCTCAACCACTAACAGAGGCGCGTGTGTTAAGGATATTGCGAGGGTCGCACGGTCCCTACGCAGGCTCGCATCCGCGTCCTCGGAGTACAAGGCAGGTTTGTGATCCACTAGGCTACGGGACGCCATGCAGAAGTCTCATTCCTATGTCTTTCAGTCTCACTTCTCCGGGACTACACTGGAAACGGAGCGCATGAAAGAGGAGGTGGGTTTTACAGCGGAAACTACTCATGTAAACTCTAAAGGTGCTAGCGTAGTTGTTTTAGCATTCACAGTAACGGGCAAACGCGGAAACGGGAGTGGTTAAACGTATGAAACACGGATACGAAAGCAGCATAAATGATGTAAGCATAACAATAAAACGAAAATTAAGAGGTGAATAGAAACCACGCCCTGGTAGACGGGACTGACCTATCTGCGTGCAAGCAGGTGCTGTTATATATGTTTGGCCTAATGACGTCAGCAATGAATTTAATGCAAACGAACTAAAAGAAAGCGTAGTGCATGCAGTCAAGTGCATATACTTGAGATAGTCGATCCCCTATATGAACAAGAAGGAAGGGCAGTTTCAGTGTTGCTCTCTCCTAATCCTGCATTCCACGGCCAGATTCATTCTAATTTGGACGATTCAAGCAGAGATAGCCTGAGCTGAGGATGGAATCTGACAGATAGTGACTGACTGCTTAGTCTTTTATCAACAAAGCTCCGCGGACAACGTCCGCTCCTCTATCATTACATCACTGTTGATTATCATAGAGACGAAAATGTGTGCCTTAAAGGGCTGAAGACTTCGCGTTTGGGTCTTTGGAACCATCAGCCGATTCACGCTGGGTTGGTTACAATGCTTGACACCAAAAACGGCAAGGTCGAATTGACATGAGAAGACAAACTGACAAGTACAGAACATCAAAGGAGACGTCGGTAGCTACTCTGATTCCAGGTAGAACGAAGATCATAGTTCAGTGAACGCGTAAGGGCGACATCAAAGCAATCTTACCTGTCTCCAATACTGCTCCGGCGCATTGGAGATAAACCGTCCCTCATCGCTCAGTAGGACGGTTTCAAAAATCAGCCCATCATTTGTTCCAATGAGGATTTCTTGCGTAGACGATTCGCTTTTGTTGTGTTTGTTCCAAGCCACCGAATCGAGGAGCATATCCTACAAAATGCATTATGGTAGACATGAAAATAGAACAATCGGCTTTCAAAATGTTTCAACATGAAGTCGTGTACTGGCCAGGCATAAAGGTGAACCGCATGCGAGTGGCAAATGACGATAAATCGAAGCAAAATTAGCCAAATCAGTGGATAAAAACATAAAGATGACAAAAACTTGAAGCCCCAGGATGACAATTTGCCAGTAGCTATAGCAATTTCGTGAGAGCTAACAGAACTGAGAGGACTGCGTAGGTCAAGACAGTTATGTTTTCTTGAGGAGGACGTGGACAGATGTACCTGTGGAAAGTGGAAAGGTTGATGAGGTAAATAAAGAGATGGAACGGTCTGGGCATCAAGGAGGATCAACAAGGTCAACAGGCACTGTAGATGAGGAGCCGAACAAACCGTGAATCCAGAATAGGCAATGATCTGATTAAAACCAAGTAATGAGTGCCGAGATAAAAAAAGACACTGGGAGTATATAGTCCAGCTAGGCGCTACGGGCACACACTAACAGAAGGTATGTATGGTTGGCTTCATCCGGTCCCAGATTTGCCTGTCACTGCGGTTTCCATAGGACAGTCAGACGATTCCTGCGCCTACACAGGGACTATGGGTGGCTTGCGCTGCACCACCCACAGGCCCCATATCTAGTGTAAACCCGACAGAATATGACCGGGAGGCATGTGGATGGGAGCCCCGTTTCATCAACGGAGCCGGCCCACACTCCTTCACAGGCAAGCACAAGCACGCCGTATTTGGGAATCAAGTGCACACAAGGCGGTGGCTGGACCGTAGTCCGCTCCACACGGAGTGCATGGAAGCACCCTTCGAGCCTAGCACGACGACGAGGACCGTGAACCCCGTCCCCTCTAGCAACGACTGTCTCTTACAGCCGGTATAGACGAGGTAGTGGGTAAAAGACAAGTAGGCACCTTGTCAACATGCATATCAAGCGCAGCCACGCCGGGGATGTCAAACAGCCAATCGCTTGAAATGACATCGAAAACAGCATACGGATATGCCGACACAATTTCTCTGAATTAACATATGGGATAAATGGGTTAACAACATATACGCTATAATTTTAAGGTGGCAAAACAATAGATCAAAAAACATGTGCAACAAACGAGAAAAATAGACGAAATCAATCACAATTCGTTTAAGTGACATGAACAAGTTAACAGAATATTGTTCAGTTAGAAATTAAAATGAGATAAAAAGTTGAGCATTCGGACAACAAAGCAAACCAATTGCCTGAAATAAAGAATCGCAACAACCTAGCATGCGGCTAGTAAACCGAATGGAAGCGCATGCAGCGTACTTACCAACGCTGCGCCGGTTCTGCTTACGTCTTCAACAAGACCTGTCGTCGTTTCGGTAATGGTCCCGAGTGGCCTCGCTCATGGCTCACTAGGCATGTCAGACTCAGGCACTCGGGACCGTATGTGCTACAGCACCATGCGCTCGATGTTGATGGAGTACAACCCATCGGCGAGTCGCTTCCGCCCCTGCCAGTTCTTCTCCGCATACACAAGGGCTTTCTCCTGCATCTCGGCAACTGCCTACGTGATCAGATCGCGCCATGCACGCCAATCAACCGCCTTCGAACACCTGAAATTAAAATTAGAACGTGACAGGCTCACCTTGATCATGTCCTGGTAACGAGGATTCGGTTTCCCCGCAAACCGCTTCCCAACACTCAGCTGACTACATAACTGCTTCGGTATCCGAGTCGAAACCATACGGCACCCATGACCGAGCCACCTCAGGTGTCTCAGCAAAAGTATGCAGTGCACTGTATACATTCCGATTCGGCACAACACAGTGTCTGCGACTCTGTCGTGCCAACCGATGCGCAGAATCCATTGCAGCGCTGTTGATGAAACCCCTTGAGATATCCCACAGCTCACCGGTACATTATCCACGTTTCGCTGCCATATAGAAGAACGGACAGCACCATGGCTTTGTACACCATCAGCTTCGTGCCAATAACGGGCTTGTGGTTGTTCCACAGTCGGGACTCAAGCTTCCCGAATGCCGCTGTTGCCTTTGATACGCGGGGATACGAAGCGCACTGTATATTTGCTGGTCAATCGAAACCTCACTCCCAGAAGGGTGAGATGATTTTCAATAATAATAATAATAATAATAATAACAATAACAATCAATACACGTTAGCACAGGGTGAGAAACATACCTCAGCTAATGTGCCGCAATACAAAAAGATAAGACTTAATAATTAAACTACAAATTACATAAATTACACTACGAAAAGTATGATGTTAAATATTATGTTACGCGCTTTGCATGAGATCGGGATTGGAGGGGGAACCTAAGGGGAGAGGGATGGACAAAGAAACACAACACAAACGCCATTGGGGCCGGCTCTTCGCCATATCAGCAAGTGTGTCCAACCAAACGCGTTCTTCGTCCTTAGGACCCCAGTCAGGCAGTCGGGATGAACCAACCGACGCCAACTTCGAAGTGAGGGTTTTCATTCCTCTCAACCAAGTCATCGCTTCGCCTATCCTCCTCTTCCGACCGCACTCCCGGCGCACAAACAATGCACGTCACGGGGAGCCGGTGTGCTGATATGCGCAACACGTGGCTCAGTCATCGGAGTCTGGAGCGTGATATAATGGTGCTGAGCGGTTCACTCGCTCTTCACACATCAAATACACGATGCCGAACACGCTCATTGCTCACGTGGTACTCCCACCAGATATGAGCTAAGCTGCGAAGGCAGCGATAAGTGAACGTGACGAGCCTCTTTATGTTTGTCGACCTGATGGGCCAGATTTCACAACTGTTTAAGAGGGTTGGACGGACGGCTACCTTATAAACTCTGCCCTTCGGGGCGAGAGTAATGTCGTGTCTGCGCCACAGGTGGCGGAGACTGGAAAAAGCACCTAGAGGTTTTGCTGTACGGTTCGTAACCTCAGCTTCGACCCCACGGACACTAATATAGCTGCCCATGTACTTGGATCCATGAACGACTTCTGACTGAAAACCACAAAGCGTTAGCGCAGGGGTAGGTCCCTGCCAAGCTTGGAGAACTTTGCATTTCGATAGATCCAAGCATAGCCCAAAACGATTGACAGCCAGTGCTAATCGGTCCGGTGCTGCTTGGCATATTTGGGATCAGTCACAGGTTGGGGCAATATTATCCGGATAATCCAAGTCAAGAGTCGCTCACCAGGAAGTAGCTCTACACCTTCTAGGTCGTGTCCAGCGAATGCTGTTTCCATGACTTCGTCAACTGCGAAGTTAAATAGAAAAGGTGACAGCGGGCAACCTTATCTCACACCGCTGGTGATACTGAAGGGTGGCGACAGTTTGCCATAAACCCTCACTCTGCCCGAACTATGCGCGTACAGCGCTTTGATAATGCTTACGTATTTCTCAGACACACCTTTCCTCAGCAGACAGTCCCGAAGGGCACATCGATCCACCAAATCGAAGGCACCTTTGATGTCAAGAAAAATGACAACAGTGGGTCGCCAATAAACATGGCGGTGCTCCAACAATTGACGCAAGGTGAAGATGTGGTCGATGCAGCCCCGACCTCGATGAAACCCGGCTTGCTCTGCACGGATGTGACTTTCACGAGCGTCAGACAGTCTGTGGAGAATGACAGACGCAAGCAATGTAGAGGCAATTGAGATCAGAGATCCCTCTATGATTGACGCATTCCGAACGGGAGCCTCCCTTGAAAATATGGACAACGACGGAGCAGCTCCAGTCTGTCGGGACAGTCTCCTGCTCTCAAAGTTTCACTAGCAACTCGTGGTTTCCAATACGTCATAACCAAGGCTCATTTGCGGTACCATTGCAGAGTGCATTTCCGGTGAAATCTGAAAGAGACAGTCTTAGTTGTGTTGCCGATGATACCGAACTTGGCCGTTGTCCAAGCCAGAGCACTAGTCACGTGCTACAATTCATCTGCGATGTGTGTAAACAACGCACAGTTGTCAGCGAAAAGCAACATACAGACTAGGGTTTTCGAATCGAAACGACGGATGTTCAGCAACACACCATCAATACGTTGCTCCACACGAACACCATAAGCACAAACGGTATCAAAGCGCAAGACATCATTGCATGAAGATAAATGTTAAGCAGAGCAGGAGCTAGGACACAGCCTTGCATCACACCAGGGACAACTGCAAAGTCATCCGAGGTTTGTCCACTCAGCTACACCCACGCCCGCATACCACTGTGCAGACATTCAACTAAACTTACTCGGACAACCAAACTTACCCAACACCAATGCCTCGCGGTTTACCGTATTAAATGCCTTGGTGAAACGAACAAAAAGTGAATATAACAGCTGGTGTCGTTCACTGCACTTCTCCTGCAACCGACGAATCGCAAACACCATATCTATGGTGCTTAAACGCGAACGGAATCCACAGTGCTCTTCTGCCATGTTCGGTTCAAAACACACACACACACACACACATATATATATATATATCATGATGGAAGAAGAAAACAGGAGACGAATAAGAAGTAAATGAACATGAGCATTTTCAGTAGTTTCTCACGCAGGGTTTTTGAGTTTACTTTTATAATTTGTTTTATTGGGGAAATCACCGCAACATGTAGAGATACACGTTCGCCATTGACGTCGGTCCTGAGCCATGACTTCTGGGGGCCTACAATCACCGACACTCTGTATCACTGAAATCCCGACCAGGGAGTCGAGAACAACCGACCGAGGCCAACGGTTTCGTCAGCTTTTGCACGTGGCTTCTCCATGTCGTACGTTGTCCACCGCGCCGACGCCTCCAGTCCTGTTTAGCAACCGCGAACAACGCCCGACACGGAAGACGATGAGCGGGCATGCGCAGTATGTGTCCAAGCTACCGCAGCTGACGCAGCGGGATGAGCTCCTCAAGCAAGTGGCTGCCTCCACCCAAAAGACCCTGTCGCTTCCACAACCAGACTGACGAGGCGGTTAAGCAGGATTCGGGCAATCACATTGTCCACACAACT